GATAAATAAAAAAAAACGGAGTCTAAAGCCTAATTTTGGAAATAGAAAGCAAAAAAGTAAACTGCGCAGCACGACCTGTCACCCACTTACACATTCGGCACTATTATTCGAAAACGCACGCCCGAAACGCAAAAAAAATATCCAAGTCCTTTAAGGAAGAGATCACTCTACGCGGATAAATAAAAAAAACCGGAGTCTAAAGCCTAATTTTGGAAATGGAAAGCGAAAAAGTGAACTGCGCAGCACGACCTTTCACCCACTGACACATTCGACACTATTGTTCGGAAACGCACGCCCGAAACACAAAAAAAATATCCAATCCCATTAAGGAAAAGATCAGTTTATGCGGATAAATAAAAAAACCTGGAGTCAAAAGCCTAATTTTGGAAGTGGAAAGCAAAAAAGTGAACTGCGCAGCACGACCTGTCACCCACTGACACATTCGGCACTATTGTTCGAAAACGCACGCCCGAAACGCAACAAAAATACCCAATCCCATTAAGGAAAAGACCACTATATGCGGATAAATAAAAAAAACCGGAGTCAAAAGCCTAATTTTGGAAATGGAAAGCAAAAAAGTAAACTGCGCAGCACGACCTGTCACCCACTGACACATTCGGCACTATTGTTCGAAAACGCACGCCCGAAACGCAAAAAAAATATCCAATTCCTTTAAGGAAAAGATTACTCTACGCCGATAAATAGAAAAAACCGGAGTCAAAAGCATAATTTTGGTAATAGAAAGCAAAATAGTAAACTGCGCAGCACGACCTGTCACCCACTGACACATTCGGCACTATTGTTCGAAAACGCACGCCCGAAACGCAAAAAAAATATCCAATTCCTTTAAGGAAAAGATTACTCTACGCCGATAAATAGAAAAAACCGGAGTCAAAAGCATAATTTTGGTAATAGAAAGCAAAATAGTAAACTGCGCAGCACGACCTGTCACCCACTGACTCGTTCGGCACTATTTTTCAGAAACGCACGCTCGAAACGCAAAAAAAATATCCAATTCCTTTAAGGAAAAGATTACTCTACGCCGATAAATAGAAAAAACCGGAGTCAAAAGCATAATTTTGGAAATAGAAAGCAAAAAAGTAAACTGCGCAGCACGACCTGTCACCCACTGACACATTCGGCACTATTCTTCGAAAACGCACGCCCGAATCGCAAAAAAAATATCCAATCCCTTTAAAGAAAAGATCACTCTACGTCGATAAATAAAAAAAGCCGGAGTCAAAAGCCTAATTTTGGAAATAGAAAGCAAAAAAGTAAACTGCGCAGCACGACATGTCACCCACATACACATTCGGCACTATTATTCGAAAACGCACGCCCGAAACGCAAAAAAAATATCCTATCCCGTTAAGGAAGAGATCACTCTACGCGGATAAATAAAAAAAAACGGAGCCGAAAGCCTAATTTTGGAAATGGAAAGCAAAAAAGTGAACTGCGCAGCACGACCTGTCACCCACTGACACATTCGGCACTATTGTTCGAAAACGCACGCCCGAAATGCAAAAAAAATATCCAATCCCTTTAAGGAAGCGATCACTCTACGCGGATAAATAAAAAAAACCGGAGGCAAAAGCCTAATTTTGGCAATGGAAAGCAAAAAAGTGAACTGCGCAGCACGACCTGTCACCCGCTGACACATTCGGCACTATTTTTCAGAAACGCACGCTCAAAACGCAAAAAAAATATCCAATCCCGTTAAGGAAGAGATCACTCTACGCAGATAAATAAAAAAAAACGGAGCCGAAAGCCTAATTATGGAGAAAGAAACCAAAAAAGTAAATTGCGCTGCACGATCGGACAGGTACATATACTTTCGCCACTAAATTTCGGAAAGAATTGTCGAAATCGGAAAAATATCGGTAAACTAGTTAGAGGAAAATCTCTTCAACGTTGTTATACGAAAGGAATCTAATCGAAAAGCATAATTTCATAAATATAAGCGAGAAAAGTAAACTCTGTAGCACGATTGTACAGGCACTTGCTTTTCCGTCACTTTATTTCACATATGCACCTTCAATCGTAAAATAATTTCCCTATTGGTTGGAAAACAATCTATTCTATGCAGGAATAATGAAATATCCTAATCCACAATCGAAGTTTAGTATGCATAAGTGATAATACGTAGCTGCTTTACAATTGAACGTCAAGGTTGAAGAAAAATTGGAAAAATTGTTAACAAGCTGCCTATTCAGAGTAAAAGTATTCAAATATATTACTGGCCATTCGAAGTCTAGAATCTAGTACAGCCGATAATAACGGACAATGCGGTAGTGGTATAGGGTCCCGCACTCACACTACTTCATTTCCCACACCACTTCATTTCCCACACGTATCGTTGTACGATTTACACTATGCAACATCACCTTTTTCCACATGTAGTATGTTACCACCGAAGAAATGTTCACAGTTACTAATGTTGAACTTTGTAAATTTTTCACAATTTCTTAAACTCCTGCTATGTTCTGTTCGTAAATATTAGAATAATGTTGCGAACGTAACCTGCACCTGCATTATCGCGAACTAATACCGGACACGTCGCGTTATTGTCCATAAACATATATTTCCTCAGTTGTAGCAATTAGAACAACAATCGCCGGTATCACTACTTCATGAAATGTTTTGAGGAAATCTTTAATATTTTCTTTTCACGCGCGAGAATGTTCCACCATTTGTTACCGGTATACCCGCTTTGCCACCAACTGGAAGTTGGTTGTAACCGGTATTTTTGTGGCGGGAAAATGCTGCGCCTTTGAAATAGCTATGTACTAAAGTATCGATGTAGAATATCAAGCGATGCCTCTTATGTTTATTAATATCAATGAAGCAAATACAAATATGTTTCTATTACAAAAATAACAAATTAGAAAGTGCTTAATATTCATGACAAAAACGTTTGAAATGAATAAAATTAAAATCAACGTAAGCGTCTTTAATGACAAAGTGAAGTTCATATAAATAAAAAGGTTTTAGTTTAATTATTCTGTAATATATTCATATATTGTACAGTTTATAAGTATTTTAATTATAAATAAAGATCCAAATCACATCAGACCAAATAATAAACAATACAAAATAAAATATGATAAAAATGATAATGATAATGATGAAGCTGGTGAAAATATTGATGATACGAAAGAAGTTGGAGCTCCATTAAGTTCACAATTGAATAATTTATTGTTTATTAATAATTAGTTATTATTTAGTCTGTACTATCTTGCTCTATACATATCACATTTCTTTCATTTACATAAAATCATTAGCTTTTATACAAAAAGCCATTTCAAATATTTTTTGAGAAAATCAGTCAATTTTTAATACTTTATTACCATTTATTGAAATACCATTATGTACAAAATCTCAAAGATTTAAGTAAATTCAAGTAAATTAAAAGTGTTTCAAAAGTGATTTTAAAAATTTCATATTTTCAACTTAAGAACAAGTGTCATTATCTTTATGGTAGATTTGTCCTTTCTATCAGCATCTCCATTGCATTGCAGTATCCTGGCTGGAATCAAATCATGCTTTATTTCCTTTTGATTTAAACACACCTGGACTCTCTTTTCTCACAAACTCACCTTCATTTCTAAGCATATGTGTACCTTTCAACTTCTTGACAGATTGTTTTTCTTTCAATGTTACCAATATTTTTATTGCTTCAGCTGTCTGACCCTTTTCCTATAAGAGCAAAACAAATAATAACTCTCAAATAATCATCAATATATAAGATGTACCTTTTACCTCCTTTTGACATTGTTTTTATAGTTTCAAAGTTCTGTTGCGTATTTCTACAGATATATGTCTTAAAGCAACATTCACACTTTATGGTCAATTTATTATTTATCTTTACCTTTCAAAACTATTACCAATTGTTCATTCTCCATCTCTTCAATAATCCTCATATTTGCACATCCATGTCACACATCCTTCTCTGGTGATATATATGCTGCCCCTCTCTTTCCTGTTTCTTAAATTGACATACTATGCGTTTACTCTTCTCGTTGCTTTCATTCAAACCATTCTCTTTTATTTATATACTTCAACTCCATCATTCTGAAATATAACACATTAGCGATGATCATTGACTTTGACCACTGATATTAATATTTATTTAAATCAGGAATACAACATACCTTTCAATTTTACTGCATTCTCTATATCTTGGTGTTATAAGAGGCCATTGCTTAAATTAATTTTATTTCCTTTTGTCTGCCTAAACCATCTTCCTTTTCTGAATCTTTATTTGACTATCAAATATTTCTATCTTGTATGTCATATGGTTAGCTGACCTAGAATCCAATAAACATATACCTTACATATTTATATTACTGCATCGATCTTTTTTCGCTATAAAAAATAATTCTATGCCTTTAATGGCTTTGTGTTGGTGATATTCCACGAGTCCGATATTTTTCTACTTTTGTATGAGTCTATTTATTTTAACAGAATATTGTCTAATAAAACATGGAAAAACAATAGCTTTTATTTTACACTATTTATTTACAACTGAAGGATATATTAATACAAAATTCACATTCTTTGGCATGATGCAGGCACACCGCCATAGAGATAACAATCCTTCCCGCGTATTTTTGCAATCTTCTCATTTTCTACGCACACGCTCGTTCACGCAGAAAAAAATAACCGAATTACTCAATATTTGTGATTAATTTATGATTTTTATAGTTATTAATAACAATTTGATATTACCTTTATAATGCGTCGATGTAGTCAATAAATTAGTTGCATAGAAGAATTCTGAAATTATATTGGAAAGTTCGTTAAGGGAGCGTCTTTACGATGCAATTATAAAATTTCATCAATTCATCACAGAAATTGAGTAATTTGTTAATTTTAAAATGACCCTTCTAAATTTCCATTTTTTTTTTTTTTTTTTTTTTTTTTTTTTTTTTTTTTTTTTTAAAACCGTTCGTTTTTGGAAAAATTCAATTTTCGAATACCGAGGGTGATTTCGATTACAGATTCGTTTTTAGGGATGTAAACCCTATAAGAATTACCCAATGAATATTACAAATGGAAATTCATGTTGAAAAGTGTAATTATTGGGATATTTTTTCTAAAATAGCTCGTCCGTGAGTATAATTCGTTCGAGGCTATTGACTGAAAACCATAATGTGCGTTATCTGGGAAAAGCGACGAATAAATAGATGTATTCAAAAGCTATTTTTTTTTTTATTATACCTCAATAATTACATCCTGTGGAGTAACCACCGAGACGAGGGAATATTGTTTAGTGGAACACCGATTGTCGATACTGGTCAGTATAACTGTGAGATATGTAATTTATCCATTTAGTTGAATTGTGATTGTGCCACGGTGAAAAAGTCCATTGAAGGACTCTAAGCATGAATTCTAGAGTATACGGTGTCCTGATTTCGTTCTTGTTCCGTTTAATCTTTTACTGGGCAAGTGGTACCACGGAAGAAAGTTAGTTTCTTTTTGTTTTCTGTTTTATATGACCGTACCAATTTATTTTTACATGAGTTTTAATTACAAAACATGCTCGTGTAATAGGACATCCCGTATCGAACGGATTTCTGGGCTATAGAACAACTTTGACGTTTCAAAAATATTGTGTTTGTAAAATTTCTTATTCTTGCTCCTGCTGTCAAAGTGTTGTCATTTTATACAACAAGGCGGAAAAGAATCGTAAGTTTTTCGTCATATAATAATCGTCTCCTTGCCCTTTCAGTTATTTCCCAAAACTTTTACATCGTTTCGGCCCTAATCTTCTTTAAAATTTATTTCGCTCTATACAGTTTGCGTTAATTTTACTTATCAAAGAAACGGATTGAATATCGACGTGATGTTAAATTTTGATACATTAAGAGCCAGTACAATTACTGATTATAAGCCATTAAAATTTTGTACCAACATACCAAGATGTTACTTCTCGTACGCATGTATAAATGTATTGGAACTCAATAAATTTCCTAGGTGAGCCATACTTAAATGTAATTTTTAACGAAACTATGCTATATTACGTTCGTTACATATTATTTAATTTTTACTCAAAGATCGATCACTGCTTGCCTTCGTTTGGATATTTTATCTAAGAAACGGCTTTGGCAATTAAATTACGATTGTGTCAGCATATCAACCGAGTTGCCTACAGTACCAGGTAACGGAACGACAGCAATGAATGGAACTACAGGAATGGGTGGAATGTCCACGACGATGAAGACTGGAATGACATCAACAATGGCTAGTAGTCAAACGACAAAGGCCACGACGAAGATGACAACTGTAGTGGAAACTGAAGAGACTACTACGCCAAATGATGTAGAAGTAATAACCGTACCAGGAACTAAGACAACGATCGTGGATATCGATTAAATAATAATTGCAATAAATCAAGCACTAATCAATAGACAACTACATGAAAGTTACAAGTTAATTAGATTAGATTTAAAACAGTTTTAGTTGGGAAGGAAATATAGTTATAATATACACAAGCTTAACTAAGAAATTTAAAGAACAAATTATTTTCATAAGAATTAGATTTATTACAAGTATCTCTTGAATACAAGTACTAATAATAATAATTATCGTTTTCTTTCATATTCCCATTTATAAACAGGAGCAGCATCCTTTGTCTCTTTACTTATCAATTTTGGCTTTGTACTTCTTTTATCTTTTAATGCTCTTTGTATTTCAAATTTTTGTTGTACAACCATCAATTTCCTCTCTCTATCTACCCTCTTTTGTAATTCTTTATAAGCTTTGAATTTAATGGATTCAATTCTTTGCAAGCTGTACTTATCTAATTCTGGTAGTTTCATGTCCTTTAATTTACTTAATTTTGGTCTGTTTGTACGCCGGGAAAGTAATGCGGGATGTGTATCTAGCTTTTTAACGAGGTCAAAGTTTTTCACTTCCTTTGAATTATCGACAAAAAATGTATGTTTGTTCTTGGTTTCATTTGCAGCATCTATCATGTGTAATTGACTTTGTAACTTATCTATTTTCTTTGCTTCTATGTTCCTTTTATGGGCAACATATCTAATATCTTGAGTTTGCATTAAATGTATCTGTTCCGGTGTATAATTTTGAAGTTTTTTGTTTTCTATGTGGATTCCACCATGAATTTTAGAATTAATCATATGGTAATAGAATTCATCTGGATTTTTATTTAGTGCACGTTTATGCAAAACTTTCAGAGTCTGTTGTTTATGTTGATAATTTCTGGCTCTGAGAATATAATCTTTCTTTTTTTCCAAAATGCCCAGGTGTTGGCGACTCTCGGGTTGATGCCTCTCGCGATGAGTTTTTTGAGTAGCTTTTGCTGCTTTTTTCCACGAAGACATTGTTAAAACTGAAAGAATTTAAAAACAGATACTTAAATTTGTCGAAAGGAAATGTCTCTTTAGTAATCACATATCCTGTGTATATTAAAAGTAAGACTTAAAATAATAAAATAACATACCCAGAGGTAATGCACAACTATATTAAAACCAATTGTTATATCTAAAAAAAACTATTGTCAACTGAATGCCGTAACACTGAAGAACATAACCTGAAACGTCGATACATACACGCGATCGACAGCAGCGCCATAGGAGGCAAAGAATTTAAATCACATAATGAAACATTTTCTCGTTTATTAATAAAGAAACTTTATAATCTATATTCAATATCTTGAAACAAAAGGATAATTGACGATAAGAACGAAATGATAAATTGGAAGTAAAATGTTATCATTGTTGAATATCATTAGGTAAAACATTTCATAGTTTATAAGTAAAATATAGTATCGCAAAATTAATCGTTAAAATTTTAATTGTCAAATATTATTCAGTTTGTGTAGACTGGTGCGCTCTGTCAGGAAGAGGCAAAACTGTATTGCCAACTGACAACGATCCCTGGTGGAAAACTTGAGTTTCCGACGATATCCCACGAGGTGATGGATGTTGCCGATTTCGCATTCTCGCGATTGGTTCTCGTCCTTTAATTTTGTACCATCCGCGATGCCGTTTCGCGAGAGGACTTCTGGGTTCAACCTGAGGAACGGAAAAGTCTGTTTGCCGCTGTGTCGAAGGTATATATTCGGTAACATCTCTTGGTCGTTTTCCTGGTCTTTGTAAAATGGAAGATGCAGAATTTAACATGGAAGATTCCGAAGTAGAGGGTGTTGGAATAACTCTTGAAGAAACTTGTCCTTCTTCGACGTTCTTGGAGAAACCTATCATTGTAATAAAAAAAGTAAGTACAAATTATTTTTGATTTTTTTTTTAGTACATATCTATGTACATACCGGGTAAATTTTTCATGACACTTTTTACCGCGTTGGTGACCACTGATAAGAGTCCAGTAGAGCTACTGCTACCAGCCTTGTTATTCGGTGATGTATTTGAACTTCTACTAGGTGGGTTATTTGAGTCGTTTCGATATGAGTAATAGTTATCACTAGAGGCGCTGTAGCAACAATCACTCGATGTTAATGAACTACTGCAACTAGCATAACTCTGGCTGTTGTTCGAAAAGTTCATATTGGAAATGGCGCGGTCCAATTTTCTTAAGCCAGAGTCTATTAGGTCGGAAGTTGAGATGTTAGAATTATTCTCCACGACTACCATCATCACTACTCGCGAGGTACCGGATGAGTGTTTATCATTTACATTGACCTCGACTGGACTATTATTTTCTTTTTCCGTGTTTCTCGCATTGTCCTCGTAAATCTTGATTTGCGATTTTTCCAGAGACTGCTTCATTTCGGACAACGTGTCGCACGCTTCGAAATATTCTTCGTTCTCTGTCATATTAAAAGTAGCCACCGAGTTGGGTTCCACAGGATTCTCATATTCATCGGAGAATCGAACCCTCTTTGAGGAATCTGAACGTCTCTCTCCCGGATAGATGTCTAAATTCTGAGAGTCTGGTAACACTTCATGCTCGATATTGGTCAACTCCATATCCTCCACGCAATTATTATCTATATAACATTCGCTTGGATTATTATCGTTTTTGTCCTTCATGGTGTTTTGCACTTTCAACTTATTTTTCGAGAGCTCTTCTTCGTCTCCGTGATTCGATGGTACCAAACGCAAGGGTATTTCCTTCTCTACAGTGGCCGAGGGAAGACTTACGTAATTACTGTTGGAACTATCGCTCTTGGAGTTGCTTCCTTGCAAATTGCTATAAGTTTGACTGTTCTTCACCGATGCGGAATCAATTTTCGACGTTTTCAGGGAGAAGTTCGAACAGTTGGGCGTTTTGAAGTCGAAGCTGGTCTTTTGACCCACGACCATAGGCGTGCTCGTGTTTCTGTAAAGTTCTGGAGGAGAGGTCAATGAACTGATATTGCTGCCATTGTATTCAGATGATTCCTTTCCTTCCGAGGTCAAAGGTGGTGTACCTAGTATGGGCTTTTGTTCCGATTTCAGTGAGCGACGATGCTGAGATTTCCACCACTTGCACGTGCCTTTGTTAATAGAAAATATCAGGATAATTCTGAGTTAATTAAATCGAATGTATCGATCACGCATACGAATATTTGAAGCGAAAATAAAATATATTACGAAGATACTCACCGAACGATTCCAAATCTTTGCTCTGCTTGAAAATTTCACCGCACAAGTAGCAATAGAGAGGTAGATGAGTGGTTACCATGTGACAGAGTAGGGCTGGATCTTCGAAGGCTTTCAATGGAAGTTTCTGGTTCGCACAGATTGGACAGTTTGGTTGACGTTTCGTGTGCTTCTTCTCCTCATGTCGTTCACGGCACAGTGCACAGCAAAATAGCTTCTTGCACACGTAACAAGTCCGGCTTGTCTGTTCGACGTACAAATTTTACAAGAAACAGAGATCGTACGGTTTTCGCACGAAATGGTAAGAAGCATAATTGGAAAAATCTTTGAATAAATACCTCTTCTGAAGTCATGTTTGGATGAGGTCGTCGCAACTGGGACGATATAATGTTTACTATTACATCGTAGTCAATACCGCACAAAGTGTATATATATATATATATGTATGTGAAAAAAAATCATTCCGTCACATGATACATATTTGAATTGTGCGGATAAATCAGACGGATGTCGATTTACCAAAGCGGGAATAGAAATTGAAAAATAAATATAAACTTTTATCGTTTAAACAATAGGTATTTTTATTGAATCAGAGTACAGAATAGAAATCAATTTCACGATACAGATGATATATTTACAATATTTTATAACGTGTTAAAATTCAATTATACGATGCAAAAATTAATATACAAATTTTACGCGTTAGCGTTATCTTAATTATTAGATTCATGGAATAAGTCGAAAGACATTAACTGATCTAGCCCCGACATATCTTCGCTGCTATCATCTTTTTTACTATCTTGTGATTTGCTTGCTTTGCTTTCAGTTTTCTGGATATGTCTCTGTTTAGCTTGTTTTTTAATATCTGATATGGTCATGAAATTTAGATTATCTACCACAACATTAACATCAGACCTTCTGAAATCGGTATCTCTGTCCTCCAACAAATCCAGTGCTTCTTGATACGGTGGAGCAATCGGTGTCTGTACCGGCTCGTGGTACGTGTATTCTTTCCCCTCGAACTGAAACAAAAGATACAGATAACAACGGAAAGTAATATCACGCGATAATAACAGATCCGAATAACTTACATCCAGCGGATAACACGTATCAGAATCAGGTTGACTAAGATCTCCGCAAACAACGAATGGAACAATGAGCCTGTTAACTCCAGTAAGCTCATCAAAATCGCACGGCTTATGAGTTAAAAGAGGATTCAACATATGAGGTTTATAACCTTCTGGTGGAGAATAATCTTTACAGACTACAAATGCTTCGATACTAGAATTACGAGAACTACTAGGTTTCGTGCAATAAACATAAGGGAAAAATATTTTTAATTGAGCATATAATAACGTTACATCTTTGGCTCTAAATATTTTTGCTACAAATGTGCCTCCTTGCCTTAGTATATGTGTAGTAATGTTTAGAGCTGCCAGTAATAATTGAGATTGAATATAAATATCCATATCATGTAGGCCTGTAACTGTGAATAATTATTTAGTAAACATTACTTATAAGTGTCAATGAAATAATATATCGATTCAAGCTTACCATCGGGTGCACCATCGCACACAACTAAATCAGCTTGTTCATTGTCAAAATGTGAAACAATTTGCTTCGCAGTGTTAATATTAGTAATGTCTCCTTGAATTTGAATCACTCCTTCCAATGGTGCCATAGCTTGTAAATCAACTGCAATTATTTTTGGTGGTGTTGCATCACCATTCTCCAAAGCTTTTTTATAGTTTTCGCTGTTCATGAAAGAAATGTAATTGACATTTAAATATTTTACAAAACATGATTTTCAAACAGAATGTTGCAGACAAAATAATACGTACGTTAATCTTCGTGACAAAACCTGACTCCAACTACCAGGTGCAGCGCACAAATCCACAACTTTATTCACTCCTTGTTTGACATACAAACAAAGTATCAGATTTTATTCTCATAGTACATGAATTATTTTTTGATATACGTACCATCTAGAATGTGACACTCGTTATCTATTTGGAGCAATTTGAAAGCACTTCTTGCTCTCCATCCTTCTTCTTTTGCTCGTCGATAATATATATCTCGTTTGTCTTTTGATGTTTTTCCCATAATTAAACAATATATATCCAATTATTGTTTATTTTCGTTATACGTTTTGGTTAGGTTTCTATTATCATCACGTTGACAAACGTAGTGATTTTTGCAAGTACTATAACCTAGAGTATCAGAGTCGATCAGTTGGTATCATTGTCGGAAGAACCGCCAAATTCAATATTTGTTCAGTCAGCATTCCTTATTGTACAAAGACGCATATCATAATCTCTAGATCAGGAAATAATATTTACGTATTGAACCATGAAGGAAAATAAACGTTGCTAAAGATAAAACCAATTATTTTGTATTTGTTACTTAAGCGTTCTTGTTTTTCCACCATCGAACGTGTCATTTGAGAAAAACATTTTCACGTATATTATCGAGATTCTATCAAGCGTAACGAAACGCTGGCAAACGAAGCAATTAAAGTAGAACAAAATGTTACACAATGAAGGCCAATAGGCTCTTTCAAGACCAATTGTAAAATCTTTTCTAATCACGGTGCAAATGGTAGCCACGATGACAGTAGTCACTGTTATTTCCCCACGCAACGATGATGCATCCTGAAAAGTATTTGAAAATTGCGGGTTTTCAATGTACTCCAGTTCGTCCTATAAATAAACATCGTAAATCTTCTCGACGATTTCATTAATTTTCCAATTCTGGAATTCCCGTTTCGATGAAAAAACGAAACTATTCCTAGATATAATCCTATTGGTGTTTATTTGCGATTCATGATTACCGCAAACCATCGTCGACGTTAAGCTCATTTTCCACGAAGTAACAACGCTATCACGTTCGTTTAGATCCTCTTTTGAACAACGAATACGAAAAAATTCGTTCTTTTTTCTCTTCGCTATGGCATAACGACGGATGACAATTACATCGAACGATTAGCAACGTTTACTCTATTTTCCGCGAAGAGGACGAGGATTTTGTGTCTGTCTGAAACTCGAGTCGACCAGTGCCTTCTTACATAATCGCATATTTGCACGTTCTCACCAAACGTATAACAATTCCGTCTCGATTCTTCGTGCATGAGTCGAACGACGCGCATATACAGCCGCGAAAATCTGCCCTCGCTGATTTGCGTTGCAAAGTGTATTTTCTGCAGATGGCCTTTTCGAACTTTTGACGATTCAATGGCGTCGATTATTTCCACGCGTCAACCATTGAATCGGACATTTGTTTTTCGTTACTCATGTTTCCATCGCGTCGGCGGAAAATCTAGTCGATAAGAGAAAAATGCACGAATAGAGAGAGAGAGAGAGAGGAGGCAAGTATGATCGCGTTGATCGCGAATCGTTACCATGCACGCTACCAAACGTTCTTTAGCCCGATAAGATGCAGATATACGCCAGATAAGACGATGGTAACGCTTAGCCGGCGCGTTTTGCATAATGCACTCGCATCCTTGCAATAGAGGAAACAGGGTCCGTAATGAGCCTACGGCCCATGAATTTCAAACGAGGCGTGGCGTTCATTTTTCCTTTTTTATCACTGCTTCTTACGTATTCGACCATTCTATGCAATCGTGATGCAATGTCGATATATATTTAATAACAACCGCGTTTACGTACACGCGTGTTTTCTAACGAGCCTTTTCATTATCGGCTTTTAAAGACCTTTGGTATTTAGCGCACGCGATAACTTGACAAGTACCCGGCGACAGGAATGTAAATAATAGCAATCGAAGAAGCAACTTGTTTTTATCAGTTTCCATTATCGCGTTAATCATCTCCGTCGTTTCAAGTTATCCCGTCCAAAAGTCGTCTAGTTATTGGAAAATGGCGTATCTCGAGGCATCCGTGCGACGGAGGACTCGTGGACGCGGGAAATTTCTTCACGAAAGAGCGCGAAAGGGGAAAAAATAAGGGAACACGGATTTATCGATTGTTAATCGATCATATCGATCCTGCGCGTTACACGTTACGTTTGCGTACGGGTCAAGCAACGCTACACAGTCGCTGACCTGATAGCGTTCCAGAGGTTATCGCAACGCGCGCCTTGCCAGAAATAGTTGCTCCTTCCCGTGAACAATAGTCTTGGTCGCTAAGCAGATACTCGTGTACGCCTGGAATCGCATCAACGAGCGTTCGTCGTTCCTCGCGTAGTCTCAAAGGAGAGTTTGTTGTTCGCGGAAATTACGTAACGCTTGGCGGCGAGCGAATATCCTAAGAGAGTTCCAGCGATGGACCCCGCACGAATTACGCTCGTCCCGCCTTTGAAACAACATCCATGGATCCGATCGAGAGGTTACGTCCATTTCCTGTCAGCGATTGAAATTCTAAAATGACCCAGATGTTATTTCTGGCCCGCGGGATCCCGCGCCTTTTGCCCTACCATCTTCTGATAACGCGTGCTCTCGCACGGTCGTTGGTTCAAAAGATATTGGCTTAATACATTTCATCAACTGTGACCTTAATCGAGCGATTTTGCAACGAGCGCCTTCCCGTGCCGGGACGCTTCGCGTCGCTTCAAACGAACGCTGAAAGAACTCATTCCGGCGCTGTACGTAGCGCAGCCTAGCTGCACGCAGACCGTCTAAGAATAAAATGGCGTCTTAGGAAATTCCTTCCGTCCGCGCTGAGCCTATCGATCTTGGTTCACGAGCCATCGCGGGTGGCACCGAGGTCTCGACCATCTGGACCGGTGGAGCAGTTTGTCATTCCACGACAAAAAGGATGAACAGAATAACGCTTCTGTCCCGCGCACGCGTTCCGCGAACAGATGAGCGGCATAGCGGCGTGGAGTTTGGTCCCCTTCGAGGGGGAGTCCCGCGCGAAATGTACGAAATATTGTTATGCGCGATGCAGAGAAGGTCTTCGGCTAACCCTGACACTGTTTTCTCTAGGAAGCACACCGTACCGAATTAATATCGCTTGACATTGCTCGACCAATATAAGCCGAACTGTAGGAAACGTAATTACGACGACCTTCCGAGATGTCCGGGGAACCTCGATGGCTGATCCTGTGGCTATTCGCCGGTCAGTTTAACCAACGACGAATGGCCAGTCGATAATAACGTTTTGTCAAGCTCGACAAACATAATCGTTCGTCATTACGACGTGCATCAATTACGTTCCCTTTTATCGGGTTGAGCCTGTTATCGTCGATGGTAAATATCCTCGACGATTGCATCGTGGAACGACGCAGTTAGCGAAGGGAATAGAAAACGAGGTAGTTTGAAGAAAAAGGTAATTCAACGATACCGTATACCAAATGGTTCGACCAAAATTGCGTTTCGCGTGATCGCAGCTTCCGGACTGCGAGATACGGTATCGCAATGGACGTTGTTAACGGTCCGCGAGCAAAGGACACGCTGAAACGACGACGACGACGACGACGACGACGACGACGACGATCAGTCACGATACAATTGCCAAGCGTGTCCGAGGCACGACCTTCGCTTGCCGCGGAAAACGTACGTAGGAAAATAAGTTGCACGTGTCCGTCACGAAAGTGACACACTAATTGAGCGCCATGTACCGTGAAACGGAATTAAGAAAGATTGCCAGTGTCGTTCACGCGGTTCGCGTTTCGTCTCCGCGTTTCCTGTGCTCTGCGTTGCGCGAAGATTTTCGTAGCTCGTGGAGATCTATCCTGAAAACGAATTTCAGTTCAAGGCCGAGCTGTTCAGTCTTCCATGATGGGATTTCACGGAAACAACCGTGAACCAGTCACCTGGCTGATACCTGCTTCTCGACCCACTCTTTCTCTCTATTGTCCAACTTCTTTGTAGTTTCCCCTAGTTGTACACGAATCTCTCTCTCTCTCTTTTCCTCTCTGTTTCTCACCGCCTGGTTTTCTACCTTCGCCGACATAACGCGTTTCGTAAGACTAGTCGGATCGACGAATCACGGAAACGGAATCGGTCGATCGTTACCTGCTCTATCCCGGTCATTAGACCCAATTAGTGACACGCCGATACCGCGAAATCGTCAGGTCGTGAATCAGGAAGAACGTAACTCTCGGCAAGTTCGGGGTGCAATCGGTGTGGGTGCAGCGAGTCTATTTTCAGCAAGTGATACAACGCGTCTAGCGGATGGATCGAAATGGTTTGGCTGGCAATAAAATTCGATTAAAAGCCCATCGCGGGGTACGGCGATTAATCAGAGCTACTTGATCCGGCGTAACTGCGTCGAAAACGGCTGTTTGGAAACGGAGCAACAATGCTGGCAACGATTCGTCGACACGAAGACCGAGCTGTGCGGGATGGTGAGGGGTTGGAGAAGGGAAGAGAAGGGAAGAGAAGGGAAAAGAAGGGAAGGCAAGGGAAGGGCAGGGAAGACAAGGGTAGGGAGCGGGAAAAGCGTATCATGGAGGAAGAATCGACCGGCTCGGCGGTCGTGAGCCGACTGCTTGGTCCGGTCTGGCCTGGTGGAACGCTTCGGGGGCAGAGTGCACGAGCGGAATGCTTATTGCCGATCGGCGGAGCCGAGCCGAGCCGAGCCGAGTTCGAAGGCGGTCGCGCCTGCGTCGCCGCGGTATAACTCGCTGATTTCGCCTGGAGCTTATTTATTTCGAACCTGAAACTCGCCGCGACAACCACGTGCTACTACGATCGCAGCTGTGAGGCAAACTCAGTCGGTCTGTGTCTCCTCCGCTGCGAGTCACACGCGTCGATCAAGCGCCGATACGATCGAGCAGCGACACAGTTGGTCAAAAGGGAAGAGGGATAAGGAGAACGGTGGAAGAGAGGAGAAAAGGAGTAGCGAAGCGGAGAAAGAAGCGGAATAGAAAGGAGCAGATAATACATTCGCGTTGCATGAGCATCGACGCTCGAGGAGCGTTCTCGAATTCCTTTTTTACAGAATCGCCAAGCTCTCTCGGTGCATCGAACTTCTTCTCGAAACTACGATCCCCGCGCGGACTCTGCCGAGCCGAACCTATCGATTTTCCGTTTAGGACACTTTAAGGGGAGCCTGTTTCAGTGTTGTGCGCGACGATCGGTTAGCACCAGGAAGAAGAAGCCACCGAGTCTTCAACCTCGAACGAGACCCCGCTGTGATACCTTTCGTCCTCGAGATCGTCTTTCTACCGCTCTGTGACCTGTGCTTCGTGATAACCATATTCGTACCTTTACGAGAACATTTAGATCCATTCCCTGATCGCTGTCACCCGACCTGGCGGGCCCTTTAACCGAGGACTAACGTACCGCGGATAGGTGAGTGTTCCCTTTTCTTCTTTCGTCCGGAATTTCGATTCGCGAGCAGTGCACATGGGTCGCAATCGGCAGCTGATTTCAACGCTCCCCTCGACGCTTTTCGTTATCCGAACCGTTATCGTCTCAGCCGTCCAAGAAATTGTTGCTTGACAGCGGTTCGCATCGCGTATAACGCTAGACCGCTTCTCGAACTCGCAGACTTTCGATGTTGATACCATCCACAGCGACTACAGGCCCTCATCGTTGGTCTAGAAACCTTTCACCGACTACTCCGCGAAAATCCAGTTGACCGATCCAAGACTCCGGTTCGTCTCGCGACTGTCTTCCCCGAGGACCCCATCTTCCGAACTTTCGTCACGCTCTCTAGTGTCCTCGCGAGCTTCCTTTTCCAACTGTTTCCCTTATCTCGCCTCGACTACCTAGTCGATGCAAAATTGGAAAGTTCCGTACGAGATCGTTCGGTCGATTCGAAAAATTCGCTTCCGTGAAACGGCTAATGAGTCACGCTTCGGCCTGGTCAGTCGTAGCGCCGCCTTTCACGGGACTCATTCACCGCGGAGAAAGAAAGAGAGACGGAGAACGGGGAAAAGAAAGGCAGGTGAGCGAGAGAATAATAGAACAGGGACCCTGGGTGGACGATCGCGTGGAAAAAGTGGCATGACCGCGAAACGACTGTGAACTCGGTTATCGTGGAAACGGATCGGCTGGTCGGCCAACTTTCCGATGCGTGTGCCTGCCCTGGCAACCGCTATTATTCTCGCAGCTCAGCCGAGCCTACAACGAGAACCTAGAAACGCTGTCGAGGAAAACGGATTTGCTGCCGGAAGCTGCTTCGAGCTATCTGACACGATAAGCGACCACCGATCGGAGGCCAGAGACGAACGCGATAAAACGAACACGCTTGATCGCGAACGAACGCTTAGCTAAGTCGATTCTCCGAAGATTCGATGAATCGTCACATGCCAGAGCGACATAGAGGGGAGAACGACGCGAGTTTTCGGTATCGGAGGTAGCAGATAAACGATGTCGTAACGCCGATGTCGTTGGCGTCGTTTCGATCGATGATTCTCGCGCGACAAGCACGATCGTTAGAAGGTCGATGGTAGCTTCGAGATCCGTTGTCCGAACGACACCGGTTAGATCGAGGTCGGCCACGACCGAAATAATCCTTCGGGAAGGAACGAGGCCGAGCTTGGTCGTCCCTAGAATAGGAAAAAGCTCGCAAGGACGGCGTTTTAATGCGACCTGGGCGCGTTTTCCGGGTCTCCAGCGGTCTATTCATCGCGCGGAATAAAACCACTGACGCGGCAGCCCCTACCTCTTCCCTTTCGTCGCTACATGAAAATCAAAGTTAGAACGCAGTTTTCGTTCCGACCTCCTCTTTTCTTCCCTCCATCCTCTTCCATAATTGCCACGAATTACGCCTAAATCGATCACGATTTTCCGCTGGAAAATAAAACTCTTCGTCGTGATCCTTGCTTGGTCGATTTTTCTAAATAATTGTGCGCCATTCAGGAGGATCCACGATGAAGTCGACCCACCTGGAGATTCTCTACTCGTGAACGAAAGACCTCGAAATCAGCTGCGGATGCTACGCGTGCGTGATTTCCCCTCTCCCAGTTTTTCCCACAATTTTTCCCTCGGTTTCTTCATCTCGTCGATCTGCTAACGTTTAGGGTTTGCAATTTTAATCGACGTGGTCGCCTGTTGGCTTTTCTGTTTTAACAGTTCACCACGTCGGAGTGCGATCACGGTGACGCCGAAGGATTTCCCTAGGAAACGCCTGATCTGCCAACGCACCTTCCAGAGCCCATCGGGGATTTAACCGGGCGTAGATCGGAGTGACGGAAACGGATAAAGAAGAGCGGAGGGGAACAATTCCTGACGCGATTTCTAGATTACGCAGGCATTCCGTGAACAGAAGTTGATTAACGGCGCGAAGATAAGCGAAGCGACCTGAAATAAGGACATAAAGGGAAGGCACGCGACGAAGAGGAGACAATCGGAATCGGATCGCGTGGGCACGAGAAAGCGAGAATCGGCTGGAATCGAGCGTGCAACCGTGGTGAAGAAAGCGAGAAAGAAGTTTCTCGAAGCTTGGTCAGCGCTGAGACTGCTATCGTTGGTGCCGTAGCTGGTGCTGACTCTCCCATAAAACCGGAGAGGTAGGGGTTCTGGGTAAAAACGAACCTGGTCGGTCTGTACGTCGTACCTGCAGCTAGGAGGTGCCCGTTGTGTTCGCATAGGTCGCGGTTCGCGTGACGTAATTTCGCATAAATTTCGACCGGGATCTCCCGCTCTGTTTTACGCTCCGGTCCACGAGAGCGAACCGTTCGACTCGGAGCAGCTGAAGATAAATCTCGAAACTAGCGACCGTAAATAGCATCGTCGAGGATATTTCTCGACCGATTTTCCGCTCTCTGGTAAAAGGATCTCGCGCGTTCTCGCGGAACCTCGATCCGTCCTATCGGTGAAGACCTTGGTTTTGAACTTGGGTTTGGACGAGAGAAAAATTCGCCTGTCCAACGATCCTTTCTGGGAGAATTAGCGGTAATCGTTGGAAAAAGGTTTCCTCTTTCCGTACGACGAAGACGCGCGAGTCGGGCAGGAAGCGTCTGGATCGAGGAAGACACGGCAGTGGAGTTAATAACGCGTTCGTTTTCGTCGGATAAGATCGGACGATAAGGTGGAAGCGGCGGAAGCTCGGGCTGCACGATATACCTGACGATACACAAGGAGCGGCGGAAAGGAAACACCGAGACGAGAGGAAGAGAGAAGTTTCTCGAAGCTTGCTTGGCCGCTCGCTGACTCTGCTCTAGAGCCGAGCTGAGACGAAAAGGAGAAGCACGAGTGGCGAGGGACAGGGAGGGAGGAGAGGTCCGTGGAGGCGAAAGAAAGAAGCCATCGCGGGAGTGCGTCATCTTGGAGAACGAGGGACAGAGAAGGACAGGATCGGTGGCGTATCGTAACGTGGAACAGATTTAGAAGGCCCACGTGCTCCACTTAGGCCTGCCCCGATAGAGACTCGGAGCGTAAACTTTACGGGGAAAGAGAGAGAGAGAAAGGTGGAACAGGATCTACGGGGGAGAAGAAGAGACAGAGTAAGGGTCCGGGGAAGGAGAGGAAGATTAACGGCGGTGCTTGGAAGCTGAACGAAAGGAAAGAAAGGTCGAAAGCAGCTGGAGAAAAGGCAAATAGAGGCACGGGCGTGGAAGTTACGTGGATCAAAAGGTGAAGGAACGGTTGGAAAGGACGGCGTGGGATTCGAGAGAGAGAAAGATAGAGAGGACAAGGAGGCACGAGGATATACCACTGGTGGCAAGGATGGCAAAGGGCAAACCGTTAACCGCCCCGGAGCGGCGGACGACCGACGCGTTCGACGAGGAATCGGTGGCGGTGCGATCGCGATGGCGGAATTTCGCCGCCTTTTGGGTGCTGGGCTTGTGCAACAATTACGGATACGTGGTGATGCTGAGCGCAGCGCACGATATCCTCGAGAGCAAATTCGGCACGACGGTGAGTATACGGTAGAGCTGTTACATCGATCCGTTAGCGAATCGGCTTCGCTTCGTGTCGGAGAGGGGTTGCCAGGGACGTGAGAAAGGGAACTGGTTCGATATGTTTCTCTTCCCACCGATTTTCTTCGGCCTTTCATTTTCCATCGCTTTTATTTTCCCGCCTCGATCGGATTGCGGAAAAAAGGGGCAAAAAGTAAGGGGAAACGAAAAAAGCCGAAGGATAGAGGAACGAGCCGAAGGTAGCGGCGAAACTCGACGCGCGCAACGAGAATACCTAACTACCGCTTTTAGAGTCGCCGTAAGCCCGAGGTGCAGTCACACGGTTATAATTAACGGTACCGTAACGCCATATTCGTAGAATCCGGACGAGACTCCGGTAAAGAATCGCGGAATCGAGCGACGTCACGGGGTCGTCGTTTCCGGCGACGATACACCGTGTCGTGCCACGGGGAACGCGATTCCCTCGCGATTTCTCGTCGACTCCGTTCTTTCCAACCGTTTACCGTTTCGTATCGCGGTTGGCCTGAATCCCTCCGAGCTTCCAAGTCGATCGGTTTAAGTCCGCGAAACCTTTCGATTGCCTCGCGTGTCCATCGACCGCCCCCAATCGCTGCGAGGACTATCGCCGGCCGATTACGAAACGACGCGTAACCGCTGCCGCGTTCCGACACTCTGTCTTTCTGGAAGCTTTCCGAGATTCTCGTGTTTACGATAGATTGCCAAAGACAATTACGATATCCCGATAACGACGCGACGAAGATACGCGTGCACGTTCGCGGCGTCGTCCGCGGCGTCGTTCAATGCCTATCAACGAAAAGCGTCGCGCAGCGAGGAACGCACGGGCGTGCACGCACTCTGGTAAAGCCTCGACTGCGTAAGGCTCGATGAATCACCCGACAGTCCGTATTACGACGATTAGATTCCTGTATCGATCGGACGCCCGTTCTCACTCGCTCCGATTGCCTCAGGAGCGCGTGGGCCGATGGAAAAATCTGGAGGAAAGAAGTAAAAAAGGAAAACTGCAGTCGATACTTCTGCGTATCGGAGTACGATGGAATGTCGCCATTATTGGTCGAAAGTTTCGCGACTCCTCCTATCTAACGCGTAGTCGTTACATCGGATCTATAACGTTGCGACGTCGTTGGTCGGTGACTTGGCTAGCAACTTACGCCTACGCAGCTGTACGCGTTCGATGTTTAATTTCCGAGCGATTCGCGGCGTCGTCGAATCATCGTGCTAATTCGCCATAATCGTTTCTATCGATCTCGACCTTTCTCGAGTTAAGGCCGATGAGTCGGTATCCCGTAGGCGCCAGCTAATCGGTCCACGTTAACGAGGATCGCGTTTCTTCGCCGCTCTCATCCTTCTTAACTCTCTTTTTTTAAAGCTTATTATTGCCTTTTCGGCTGTTTTCATTAGCGCGACGTTATCGCGCGTATTTGCGAGCGTTGGTATGCCCGGCGATTAGCCAGGAGTGCAAACGATATTCGCGCGTCGATGGAAAAATATGTTCGTCCCGCGAGTCGTTTTCGAAAGCCCACGAAAGTATGCGATACGGACACGCATTCGGAGTAGAGAAACGTAATCGATGCCCTGTTAATCCGAGCAATCAGCAGCGATAGCCGAGTGTATCGCTCGACTGAAATTCTAAGCCGACTGTAAAACTTTACGATTTAATTAGTCCGCGTTTCGCTTTATAGTGTCTGGCGACAACGAGTCCAGCTCGTCACGACGATTAATAGCCTCGTTTAACTACGTTCCTCGTGATCCTCGTCCCCGAGGCGAGCGAAACCGAGACAGCTACTAATAAGGAGTAACAGAAGAAGCGGGTGGCAGCGGCGGGGCAGGGGGAAGGGAAAAAGTCGTTAGAGCAGCGAACAATTAAGCTGAATTACGTCTTCGAGAGCGAACAGATTCTCGAGTGCGAGGAATTTTCGTTATGTCATCGACAAATCTATGCGTACGTTTCGCATCGTGTTATGAACTGCCACATAGCGCCTCTCCCGCTCTTCGTTGCGCCTTTCGACCGCGATTCCAGCACGCTCGCAAACGCGAATTAACTTACATAAGTCGGGAACAGCCACGGAGATTAATATTCCATGCGTTCAAGGTGGTAATGTCCGTGAAATACAGATACCGCCGTAAGATAACTTCCGTGACTGTACGTCGGATAGGCAAACCGAATTGTGGGAAAATAACAGACGAAGCTGATTCTAATACGCTTTTACCCTTGCAGTGCGAACAAATGGAATTTGCATTAAACCGATTCTTTTTCTCTTTCCTTCCTTTTCGTTTCGTTTCGTCTATATTAAGGATCCTGGGCGGAAATTCGAGAACGGCACGATGATAACGGTGAACGTAACCGGGGTGCGATCCTGCAACACGCTCTCCACAGGCGCCATATTGCTGGCGGACATATTGCCGTCGTTGGCGGTGAAAATAGTCACCCCGTTCCTGCCGTTTTACGTACAGTGAGTATCCACTTTTTCTTCTCCTTTGCATACTCTGTCTTAATGCGTGTACCATTGATCGTTCATTCATCGCAAATCCCGCGTAAACGCGACATCACGCGAGAACATTCGCGGAAAGCCAGTATGAGCACTGCGAGAAAGAGCAACGACAGGGTAACGTCATGCAACGCGGCGGGGAACAACGATCCTTTAATTTCTGGCCAATTACCGCGATAAATGCAGCTGTTCGAGTGGCATCCAGACGAAATTGCGACGTCACGACCAGGTTCTATCGAGGTGTATCTCGCTCTACGAGTTCGACGTAGTACGACGTTTGGTCGAGCGAATCCGCGTGTTATCTTATCGACGGCTTTCGCTGTACCGTTTCGATATCCCTATATCGCGATATCGGTTTAGATTATTCGAGAAACAAAGGAGGAAATAGGGCGAGGACACGAATGTCTTTGACATCGGGTAGATCGATCTTTGAGACACAAATGACATTATCCAGCATACGGCTACGCGTTTCCTTTTGGATAGGAGAGCGTGGGTGGCGGTTGACGTCATATGCTTCTCGTCACACGCATTCGATACCTCTGGTATACTTTTAAACGTTGCTTTCTCTGGGCACGGGAGCCGCGGATACACGCGGTTCCTCGTGGGGTGGATCATCTCCGGAGTCGTGTCCCTCCGCGGACACGTCGCTATTTCCCGTGAATGAAACGCTAATCGATTAATCGAATCGTTAATTACAGTGCTCGACTGGCTACCTGTGTGTTATTTTCCGCTGCAGGATTCCTCGTGGTGTCGTTGAGCACTACTGAATGGCTCGCCATTCTGGGCGTCGTTGTAACGTCACTCTCTTCAGGTTTGGGAGAAGTTACTCTGCTGAGTTACAGTCACCAGTACCCAAAGTAAGTACCTCCTTTCTTTATTCTCCCTCGTCTCCTCCGTTGACGCATTCTATTTCATACGTTTTATTTTTATTCTTCCTCTATAACGATCGCGCGCGTGTCTTTGACGTCGTTTGCCATCTGTCTGTTCTATCGGCGACCATAACACGCGAGTTCTGCTCGTCGTGCCTTTTCCCATTTTTCTTCAGCTGTCTTATTGTTAGACCAGCCTCCCGCGTACAGAGACGAGCACGGCTCGGTCGCTATACTCGCGTTTGAAAAATACCCGCGAATCGAGAAGCATCGTATTTTTCTTTCCGTTTGTTCCTCCTTTACGCACAGTGAACCTATGTACGTCTAGCGAACACGATAACAATTTATTATCTGTGTCTCTCTGATCTTAGCGATGCTCGAGGATCACTACGAGAGAGAGAGAGAGAGAGCCGATGTAAAGGGCGTGCGAAAAAGTACAGCCAAGTAAATAACGTAACGATAGAGAACAAAGGTAAAGGAACGAAAGTAGAGACAAAAGGAAAAGAAAGAAATACGATGTGAAATTTGTTGATGCAGGTATCGAGGCGGTGGCGCATAAAACCGTAATATTGGCATTTAGACAGTTGTTCCAGAAAAGTAGAGATAAGATAATGACCGTCGGCAGGTTGGCCTTCCATGTTTAAAAGTAGGAAAAAAAGGCATAATACTCTAGAACTGGCACGAAAATAAGATAAAAATGAAAGACACGTAAAAGTACAGTACGGGATTGTGAAAAACTCGTTGCAAGCACGAGGTACGTCTGTACTCATGTGTAATAACTGTTAAACACGCGATCCACTCCTTCTGCCTCTTTGTCTATCTGTCTATCTCTCCCTGTCTCTCTGTCATTCTTTCTCTACTAACGATTAGCCTTGCCGTTGCAAAAGTTCATCGAAATAAACGTGCACGAGCGCGCGAAACGTGCATTACGTGCATCCCTGTTGCAACGCGATCGCGAAGCTTGACACGGGTCCCGGAGTAGAGATTTATTTCTTTTCTTTTTTCGATTATTCGTTGATCTATTTATTTTATCGGTCAAGTTTCGATTATCGTCGTCCGATATTACTTTCCACAGAATGTCCCCCGTTTAACCCTTGACATTTGCCCGATAACTCAGAGCGATTCATTGTTTCGCAGACAAGTAATCGCGACATGGTCTTCCGGTACTGGAGGCGCCGGAATAATTGGCGCGCTATCTTATGCCTTCCTCACCACGTGGTTGACAAACGAACAAACATTGTTAGTTATGTTAATCGTACCGATCATACAAGGAATCACTTTCTGGTTGATTCTGGTACACCCACCGCAGTCCAGTATCCCGATCACTAAGAACGGTATCGACAGCCAAGAGCACATCATCGAGGTCCCTAGGAAGAGCTTTAAAGAAAAGATCAATCTGGTACCGGGGTTGATGAAGTATATGATTCCGCTCGGGCTCGTGTACCTCTTCGAATATTTCATTAACCAAGGATTGGTAATGCCTTTTTGTTACATGAGCTTTCGTAGAACCTTGTTTGCCTCCCTACCACGCTGCTTCCTCGCTGTTTATTTTTTTTTCTTTCTGCCTTCTCGTACATTTACGCTATAAGATTACAAGTGTCTTGTTGCTAGTTTCCACGTAAATCATAGATACGATTATTATCGGACGTACGTGTAAAGCGACGCGGATCCGGCTATTCTCATTCGCACGTGTAACGTGCTAATTTTTCAGTACGAGCTGATCGAATTCAATGGCATCTGGCTGACGCATGCCGAGCAGTACCGCTGGCTCCAGGTCGACTACCAGATCGGAGTATTTATCTCGAGATCGTCCGTCAATCTCGTTACGATTAACAAAATCTGGATCATGGCTGTGCTACAGGTAAAAGAACCGATTAAACTCTGTTTACTCATGCCACTCACGACCGAGCGGAAACGTACAGGCTGTCGATCCCTCTCGCGGCCTTAATCGAGTACGCACACTCACGATTTACGATATCCCCGTACCTGTTCCAGTTTATCAACGTCATAATTCTGCTCTGCGAGACGCTGTTCTACTACATGCCCAGCGTCTGGCTGGTGTTCGCGTTCGTCTTGTGGGAAGGCCTCCTCGGTGGCGGAGCATACGTTAACACGTTCTATCGAATGTCCACCGAGGTAACGTAGCCATAATTTTTACGAAAGATCCTCGATTATCATGCACGAGTGCAATACGAACGATATACCGCATTCGTAAAATATCGCATCGACCAGTGGCCCCGATCGATGCCTATACGGCACTGACCAAGTCGTTGGCATTCAAAATCCTTTGCGGTTTCAAACGATGTTTGTTCAATGGTGTGCAGCGAAGCGGAAAAATTACTAATTAACTTGGAATTCCAATTTGGCTCATTAACTGTTACTTACCACCAATTTACCACGAGTTTCGAGAGTTTAACGTTTAAGAGAGCTCCAAGTTTTTGGAAATCAGTCAATAATACACGCCAAATTCTTTATGTTCTACTAAATATCTCGCACTGCTAACTCGATCTTGGTGTTAGAGAGTCGTATTTTTAGGTTCGATCGACTTTACGACCGCGCTGTATCGTTTCAATGTTGGATCTATGTTCTCGAGACTTGAAAATAGTCTACACGAC